GTCGCTCGGCCGCGGGCGCTGAGGCGGCGCTGTCCTGAGGCGAGGTAGGGTTACCTGGGGAAGCCCACCTGGGCGGCTCTCGAATGGGGCCCCGGTGCTTGATAGGGCCGCCTGACCCCCTGCGTCGGTCGCCTCGCCGGGTGAAAAGGCTACTGCCCGGCGCTCTGGTGCACCGCGCTCACCTGTGATCTTGAGCCACGTTCAAAATGAAAAAGGTGTCCTCTGTAAGTAACGGTTTATGAAACCTTCGTCCAGGTAGTTAAGTGCGCTTCCCTGACCTTATTCTCGCCTACGACCTGAAACATTTTTAAAGTGTTCTTGTTTCCCCAGCTTACAAAAAATTACCTGTTCCATTAATTTGTAGAGAACACTTGTATACAGATTAACCATGTTCCAAATACTTTTTTCGTGGAATGATAAAAAGGTACAAGTATATTTCGATTTTTAAAATCAGATAAGAACTTTCTACTTGGCAATCACATTCAACGACTGATGATATTGGTTCCGTGTGCCTGTATTTATGAGTTAATAACGTTATGATCCAGTGCAAGGTTGCCAAAAATGGATTTGGCTTTAGGGCTGTCAAAGTAGGCAATTTGTATAGGACTTCTCCTTCATGCGTTTCACTTCAATTAAACTCGAGATAAATACTTTCTTATTTACTCAAAACTTGTACTAGGCCCAAATTACTTAATTTCATAAGGTAGGTAAAATCTTCATACATTACAACAGCTATAAACAGTAAGGCCTTTCTTGTTTTCCAGTTTACCTGCCCCTAAGCAACCTAAACCCATTTTCAGTTAAGTAGGCATTGCCCTTCCAACTACCATCCCAGAGAGGCGCCATCCTTACTAGCTCTTTTATTGGTGAAGCTTTGTGTTTTTAACTACTAGTACTCTTCCTGTTGTAACCAGCCTTTGGACTCCTGCCAGGTAATGCCTGACACTCTTACAAAAGCCTATCAACAAATTCACACTTGATGTGACTCAGAAGACACATTCTATTTTAATAGCTGTTTAAATATACCCTGCTTATCGATGGGGATTTGTTCTGAGAAATGTGTTATTAGATGATTTCTTTGTTGTGCAGACACCACAGAGTTATATTCTTGGTGTATGGTATAGCCTACTACATACTGAGAATATACAGTATAGCCTGTTAATTCTAGGCTAGAAGACTATAGCAGAGGTCCCCAACCCCCCGAGCCATGGACTGGTACCTATCTGTGGCCTCTTAGGAACCACAGCAGGAGATGAGCAGCAATCCAGCGAGAGAAGCTTCATCTATATTTGCAGTAGCTCCCCAGCACCAGCATCACCGCCTCAGCTCCGCCTCAGATCATCAGGCATTAGATTCTCTTAGAAGCCTGGGACCCTGGTACCAAAAAGGTTTGGGACCACTGCTCGACCTCATGTTATTTATTGTACAAAACAACAGAAGACTAAATCAAGCACAAGAGAAAATGATGCAGTCAAGAAAGGAGGTAAACATAAGAGGTATGAGGCTGCTGCAGGAGTAACAGGGCATAGTTTTACAGGAAACTTTATAAGTAAAAAATACACTCTAAAATAATAAAAAGTATAGTGAATTCATAAATGAGTAACATATTATCAAGTATTATGTATATGCTTTTATAGGACTGGCAGCACAGTATGTGTACATCAGCATCACAAACAGGAGGAATGTGGCTATGACGTCACTGGGTGATAGGGAGTTTTCAGTTCCATTATAACCTTATGGGGTCACCTTCTTATATGTGGTCAGTAATTGACAGAAACATTGTCATGCAGTGCATGACTACATGTGGATTAAAGACTGATTCAGTTGAGAAAAAGCTTACGTGAAATAGTTCTCCAAAGTTAGATTTATATGGGTTACCTAGCCATGGTTGGTGGTGTTAAAAAACAAAATTCAGCCAAGTAAATTTGAAGATCTGATTGGCTTTATTGAGCAATTTGTGAATCTGGCAACATCCCATCTAGCAACTAGAAGGGCACTCTGAATGTTGTACAAAATGAAAGGTTTTTATTGGAAGAAGGTTAGGGCAAGGAAGCTATTAACAAAAGAAATGGGCTGGGACATCATTTTGGGAGGAGGGTTTTTATCATGCAGATTGCCTCTTCCCTCAATGGAGATTACCTCATTGGTTTTGATCAGAAAATTACAGACTGGTAGATTAAGATTATGTTTCTGGGAGAGTTTGAAATTGCAATTAGATCAGATTTTAAATTTAGGTTTGGTATCATGAAATTCTAGTGATACCGTTTGGACCTGTGTTTTTCTTTAATAGTGGTTTCGTTTGCCACTTTTTTTTATTAAGGTAAAAAATCATAACGATGCGTTATTGAAGAAACACAGGAGGATTTCCTTGGAAACGGGTTGTGCTTGCAGACAGAGAAGAACCGGAGGGTAAATGTGTACTCAGAAGGTCTCTAAAGAACTCAACAGTAGGTGTTTGGGATCTCCACTGTAGTAGTGCAGTGTCTAATGTCAGGATATGGAGTTCACTATTTGTTGTTTGTCTTTAAACACATATTGATAACTTTTGCTTCCCCATAACTCTTTGCCTGTCTTCTATCTGTCCCTTCATATGTGCTTTCCACCCTTTTCCTGCCCTTGTGCCAGGGAGGGCCGATCTGTCCAATTGTACCAATGGACTCCTCGCCTTCCTTTGCATCTCCATGGGTTCAGGCAGTGGAAAAGATCTGCAGGCAATTGGAAGCCAGAAGGCAGTCATAGTCCTTATTCCTCACAAGTTGATATCCACCCCTGGGTTATTTGCCCTTGGGTAGGGTCCCCATTTAGCCTGGAGGAAGCAGTTATTTGATTCACAACATTGCCATCAAGACAATGGGGATGGGAGAGCCAGTTATCGAGAGGAATGTGAGAGAGCTACATTCTTTAACCAGGCTTTCTTGTCTTTTACCAGTTGTTAAGAAAAAGAAATGTCAGACCCATGGTGGTGTCACTTGCCCTCAACAACAAACCAAGACTTAATTGCAGTTCCATCTCCTCCCAGGAACATGACCTTAGGCCAGTCAGTCTGGTTTACCTACACTAATGAGGTAATCTGCCCTCTAAAGTCCCCTGCTACTCTTGCTCCCCAAAGAAAGGTGACCCTGCCTGAAAGTCTTTTTTTGCTAATAACTTTCTTGTCCTGCCCAGTTTCTACCTACAAAAAGCTTTCATTTTGTACAAGTTCTTAGAGCACTTTTCACTGGAAGAGATGCTGTCCAATTCATGAATCCTTCAGTTAAGCCAATTAGATCTTTAAATTTACTTGGTTGAATTTTCTTTAACAGATTTGATAGCAAAGAAAGTGTGATTTGAAGTGAAGTTCTGACAGCATTTGAGGACAATGAGAAACACAGGCATGGTGACTAAGAACTTTTTTGAATGCTCTTTCTTGCTGTTTCTAAGGGCCATTGGTGTCTGACCTCTGCTCTCTTCATGGAGCTTCTGATCTAATTGGCTTTCCAGTCCAGGGATTAGCAGATCAGCTTGAGCTGGCAGATGGTTTCATCCAAACACCGATCCCTAGCCTTTGGTTCAGTCTAATTCCCCTCGTGTTTGGAATCCCTTTCCCAAGTTCCAGTCTGCAATCCTTATTTATTGGGGTTTGCTGGTTTCTTTTCCCCAGTTCCAGCCTGCAATCCCTATTTACTGGAGTCTACTGATTTAATCCACACTGAGAACTGCTGGTAGTATGCACATCCTTTTCTCTGTCAGTCCATAGTAACATTTCTTGGGTTACTGCTGGTGTATTAATGTGCATATTTGTCTTGTTTTGTGTAGATGAAGGCTAGTACATTTCTCATGTTGAGAATTGTTGGTGGTTACCAGCTGGAGTTGGACGGTGTCCGACTTGAAAACTGGATTGGGTTCAGGATCTAGCTGGGTCCAGTGGGAGGCCTCAGGTGAACAAAATTTTCTTTTAAATCAAGACTAGTTGCTAATGGAAATCTTGAAAGTAGAAAAAGCTCAAATATTGGTGGGCACAAGTCAAGCATTTAAAGGTTGTTAGAGCAGTCACTACCTCAAGAAGACTCCCATGATAGGCCCTCTTAGGTATTAAGTTTGGCTCTGGTAAACCCAAAGGCCTAGCTAAAGAAATGGAATCCTTTATAATTAAAGAGTTGAACACGGCACCTTCCAGCATCCCTGCTTGTTTTATATTTAAGAACTACTGTATAATCCTGGAAGCTTCATATATCTAGAAAGATAGCAACATTTTCCTAAAACCAACCTAGAATTGCAATGGTCATGATGGGAACATTCCAATTAAATAAAATATTGCTCATTTAAGAAGTGCACTTGCATGCCTACTCTAATTGGCAGGCAGAAGTCTTCGCGATTCCCATATAGCTTTATGAAAAGACCAATAACAAAAGGCTAATGAAGAATTAAAGAGGTACCTAAAAGATAGTAGGATAAATGTGACTCCTACTGCTCTCCCATCTTTTTTCACTTGAATACTCACGTTATATTGTCCCATCTGAACTGCCTTTTCACTCTGAAGACAGTTACTTTTTACAATAAAACTACCCAGGGTGCAGACAAATCTCAGGTTTATTTCAGGCTAAGAGATTACCAAATATGCTGAAAACCTAACTGACCCCTGGCTTAAAAAGGCAAATATAACCAATACCTCTGAATGAATCCATTATCAGTGCCACCTTGGTAGAAGTGGTCTGTGCCCCAACAGGATTTATCTTTGTCTGTGGTGATTATTATTCTCCTTGAGCCTATGACTACCTAGATGGTTGGCACATAACTGGGTGATGCTTCTTAGGTATTCTAAGGGTACCCCTAACTTTTCACAAAGGTACTAAGTCACCATTGGTCAACTTCCAGATTTACATCCTTGAATTAGAAAAGATCTACCAGGAGACATTCATGATTTTAGAATTTGCTTCCTTTGGCAAGTTCCTACTTACCTGGTTAGGAATAAAATGTAAAGGAGTCTATCTATGATCAGGAGCCTCTCCTTTAACTTTTGAAGATATTGATCCTTAGACTCTTGGGCCAAAGTTGTTCCTGATAATAGGATAGCCCTTGATTATCTTATAGCTGAGCAAGGGTGTCTGATCTGCAGTACTTGGATTAACTTCTGGGGAAGTTGAAACTCAATTACATGATTACTGAACAAGCCATTTGGTTTAAAAAGGTGACTCCTTCAGTGGGGTCTTCAACTTACTTGATTTTGATTGGTTGGATCTTGGGGACTATGGCTCTGAAGTATTCTAAACATTTGAAATTATGCTTCTTACAGTTATAATAATCTCCCTGATGCATTGTAGCCTCTCAATAGCTTTAAATGCATTATTCACAGCTGCTGACCAACCAGCAAATGATCTCCTTAAGACCGGAATGTCAAAATGGAACAGAGAGAATGACTAAAGATTGTGAACTTGAAGTCATGACCTGTTTTTTGTTTTTGTTTTCATTTTGTAATGAAAAACTGGAATCTAGAGCACAAGTACAGGGTCAACTTTTCAAAGAAGGGAGCATGGTTCTCTAGGCCCCCGGAAGTTATGAAACACCTAATTATCCTTATACAAACTTGATGATCACATTGTTCAAATGAGACTTTAAAAGATAAATCTTGTTTTTCCTGTTTAGAGTATGCTAATATATCCTCAGATGATTGAACTCACTCCTTCTCCCTCTCCTGCTAGTGTCTCAGGAAAGTTAAGTCCTACAACAACATCAAGATCTTTTTTTTCTTCTACCAGTGCAATTTAAGTTCAGGCTTGCGAAAACCCAATGTGCAAATAGCTGTACTTAATGCTGGAGAGATTTCAAAGAATGCATTAGATATAATCTGTTTCAAAGTCCTACAGTCCAAAGAGTAGATAAACTGAACCCAGAGATTTTTTTTTTTTTTTAACTTCCTATAAAGTAATGACTTTAAAAGAGACTGATTTTTCAACAAGATATACTGAACCATCATTACCTCCAAGTGGCAGAGCCTTGGGCCCTGTTTATCACAATAAAGGTGAGATAAATGCTTGGATAAATACTAAATGCTTAGTGTTAATGTGTGTTTTAATGGCTTACATGCATCTTCCCTTCAATAAATAAAACTGACATATTCAGTCTCAGATAAAGAGAGTAAAACACCTTTACAAAATTTTGCTTTTTTCACTTATCTGTATTATATAAGTAGGTTAAAAAAACACTGCGCTTGTTATGCAAACATAGTTTCAAAACAAATCTAGTTTACTTTCCACCAGATTGCTGTTCCTAGGTAGGTAGCTCTCTTGTAGGTAGGCCGGTTTAACAGAAGTAGGAACTCTCTCAAATGTTTAATTATCTTGCCTAAGAACCCTGCCAATCATAGCTAGGATTGATACTCAAAATTCTCTGCCTTTCCTGCCACACTAGTTTTTTTTTTTTTTTTTTCCTTTTACATGTAGACAAAAGAAAAAGGGGTTCTATGGAAAGTAATCTCACAGGGTGATCTGATCATAAATTCCTAACTGGGCGGGTCAAGGTGGGTAGTCACGCCCAGGCCTACAACTTCAGTGAAAGGTTTTACGGCAGCCTTGCCCATTGTTCTTGTGCATCTAGATTAACACACCTTTGAAATACCAGAATACCCCTCTTAGTGGGTATTAACCCTCAAGAGAGCACATAATCTTAACTGTCCTGTAATCCAATCCTCACCTTGCTTTTTCCAACCTCCATGTAATTTTCCTTCTGTTCCCTCCTTAATTTCAAATGCATGAAACAAGCTGCTAGACTTATTCCGGGAGCATTTGAGATCTTGCTCCCCAGCATTTGTCATTAGTTTGCCTCAAAAATAAACTTATAAAAAATTCTGTACAGGTTTGGACATTTCTTATGTTGACAAATTCATAAAGGTACTAACCCCTTCAATACCCTGTTCTTTGAAAACCCCTGTTCTTTGAAAACTGGAAGAGAAGTTATGTTTTGAACTTAGTTTATTTTTAGAATTAACTATTACTATTATTCGTTAGTATAAGTTGTTGTTGATGCTGCCCATCTATTGGCCACATTTTGAGCAGCAAAATGCTAGGGTACAACTTGTTTCTTTGAGGAATTACCCCAGTGCTGTATATAGGGAAACTGTGTAAATTTTCTTCTAATTATCACAAGCTGCTAAATCTGTATATTAGTTCTTTTGATCCTGAGGAAAATCATTTTCATTTTGTTGCCCAACACTTTCTAGTTAAAACTTTTCAAAGTCCTTCATACAATCATCGGTTTCTTAGGATTCCGCCTGTATGAATATTACTAGAATTAGGTTATTCCATTCCTGTAAAATGGCCAAAATTTACTTTTCCCTTTGTCTTACGTGCCGTGTTTCCTTTTATTTCCAAACCTGGTTTCTATAGAAGTCTTTGCCTAGGACCCTCATTCCCAGTCCAACTGCATCCTATAGGTAAGTTCCTATTTCTAGATTTTGTTCGCAGTACATTTATTAGTATAAATGCAGTCATATCCAGTAGTGAGTTATACAGCAGTCAGAAAACAATGGTCTGTCAAAATGCTGGTTTCCATAGGATCACATATATTCGGGGGGCAATTTTTGGCTCTCGTTGTATATAATGATTACTGATCTGCTAGAGCCTCCCTAGCTTATTTCTGCCTTACCTTCTTTGGGTTATATATTAATATAACTAAGGAGGAACACATACTCAGTTCAAGTTTGGATATATTAATAAAATGTGACACATTTTCTATATTTAGAATAATATCTCTTGAGCATATTTTTTTAAATAAGCTTTTATTGTGAAGTATAAAAATTTGGAAATTTTTAAAATCTTAGTTACAACATTAACAAGTCAATAGTCTTTACCAGAGAAAGCACCACATTAAAAAAATTACATTCATAACAAATGCTTATGCTAAAATTACTTAATAGTAATTACAACATTAGCAAACTATGAAATTGAAAAACATTTTTCTAACCACAAATCTAAGCCTGCAGTCTCAAACTCAGATGTCTTCAGTGCTAATTAAGAAACACAAAGTAGTGACATAGTCTAATATAGGACGGAGTCCAATGGATTGTGGTAAACTAGGAATGCATGCCAACCTAAGCATGTTTCAAATTTTGAAATGTTATGCATATAGGATAAAACTGTGGGCCAAGCTGGCCTGTATCAACTGCCAGTTTACAACTCTGGCCTAAATGAATTTTTGGCAGTTTGTGTCTAATCTTCAAAATGGCAGACTGTATGTGTATGTATGTGTGTATGAAGCTTAAGTCACTATTCTAAGGAGAGTTGATAAAAACTTCAAGAAAAGGTATTTTGCATTGAATCAGTTAAAGTAGCAGCATGGATATATTATATATTCTTCACGTATAAGGTTAAGAGATAAAAATTTTAAAATACCTTTATTCACATGTTGGGGAGACTATTATTTTGTTATGTGTAAGAGTTAATTGAAAGGAAATTTCATTCTTTTATCAATAGAAAGTCACATACCGTAGTACATTATTTCTTAGAAATATTTACGTGAAAAATAAAAGTAGTGGTTTTACTAAAGCCATTGTTCAGAAAACATTCAATCATATTACCTCACAATATACAAAAGAAAATACTTGTAATTCAGTTAACAATAAATTTTACTTTATCTTTAAAGGGTATAGGGTATATTATTGTAGAACTTTAGATTTTATACTTTCAGTTAAAAGTAAAGGTTCTAGTCTGAACATGTAAAATTGCTATAGCTCAAATGGCTGTAACCGTGTTGGTTTGTTAAGCCAAAGTAGCTTTATAGAATTTACAACTCCAAAAAAAGAAAAGGAAAAAAAAAAAAAAAGAATTTACAACTCCACTATCAATGACTTTACATTAGTAACTTTTAATAGTTTATTAAGTGATGGAGGTATTGGAGTGACAAAATCACCTTTAAAAATGTTACAAAGGCACATTATAATTTAAATATACTACTACACTAGGAATACATATTTAAAAATAATCTATAGACAACACAGATATCAAACAAAACTGAAAATACATTTATTCCAAGCCTTATTAACACAATACCCAAAAATAGTTTCTACTTTTTAAGAATATTTTAGCTCTCAGCTTGAGTTTATCATAAAAAGAAAGCACCAAATCTAGCTATGTGATCTTCCAATTTAAAAAAGTTCAGTTTTATCTTTTGTGTAAAAGTTATTTAGGACAAATCAATTTCATTGTAGTCATTCATTTTTTTAAATTAAAAAGTCAAAGCTGTTAAGTTCTTGGCCTAAAGTTAGATGTTTAGCAAACTTAGAGTAGGTATAGAAGAAAATGTTAAGACAATATCTGTCAATTAATACAACGGATATT